TTTTTATAAGAGAATTGCTACTCATATTTAAAGTTAGAGTCAAAACCTTAACAGGTATTTTTAGGAGTAAAGAATCCTTCTTCTCCTGGTGAATAGATATTCAAGTAATAGCAACAGAAGAAGACCCCAGAACCTCCCCTAATGACAGTTCAATATTCCACCAATCCATACACATCACTCGATTCTTATGTGATGTTAAGGATTAAATGATATGCTCGTAAGTATAAAACTTTAGGTGTGAGAGATATAAATACATAAGAATTGTGTGCAATGTATGTAAATGCACCAATGCAAAGTAAACTGTGCATATATAAATTTAGTTTATCACAACATAACACCTAAAGTGTGCAAACTAAACTGTGCATATATAAATTAATTAATAGGACTGCTAAAATGGAAATCTTCCATCAATAGTTAACCAATTTCAATTGTAACATTAAAAAAGCAGTGGAGTTCATTACCAAACTCCAAAATCGCAAGGTATTTCTTTGAGAGGAGAAAGAAAATGAGAGAGAGGAGAAAGAAATTGAAAAGAGTATTTCTTTGAAGTTCATAATATCAAGTCATCCAAATGTGTCACCTTTAACTTCAACTACAATAGTGAGGGCAAATGTTTAAATGATGACTTCAGTCGTGACGATAGCCTCAACTTCAGTGATTACAGTTAAGGTCGCATCAAGTAGAAGTTCGATGGTAGAGACCACAACTTTTGAGATGTTACCCTTGCATAAGTTGACAATGCTAAAGTAGTTGACCCAACAATTTCAAGTGATTCTACAAGTATAGTTATGTTAAAGGCAAACTCCTTGAGCATGTTCGTCCATCATAAAAATAACTCCAAAATTTGTTATACAAAAAACAACTCCAAAAGTTAGCAAGAAAAATGAAACAAAAAAGAAAATCAGTGATGCAACCTTATCATGCTTTTGAAATTTCAAATTGCAAAGACGCCAATATGGCAGCTTTTTCCATCAAAAAGAGAAAAAAATATAACAATTGTTGACTTCAATGTGGATCCACTTGCCCCAAAATGAGAATTGAATTCAGTTACATATGACCTTGGTCCCTTGATCCTCTCCAGCTAGTTAAACAGAGATTGGGAGGGATTTTAATAGGCCCAAATCATATGGATGTTATATGAATAAAATTGGAGCATTGCCACTTTACTTGTTCTTCAACCAAAACCTTCAAAAAGATGCATGCACACCCATCTAGAAATACATGTATGAATATTTCACTCCCCACAACCACATATTATAGCTTCAAAAATCATCGCAATACTAATGTGCCAGAATCATGGCATCACAAATACCATAATACCAATCCAAAGCCAACGAATACCATAAGATCATCAGAATACCAATGTGTCAGGAACTCTTCAAAGCATTAAACACAAAACACTAATGTGTCAGGATCAAAGCATTCAACAGGAAATATCAAAGAGGTGACAAACCAAGAGCTGGAACAATATTAACAAGTAACCAAAAGGATCACTTAGCTACCCAACGTGAAACTCCAGATCCACCACAAAAAAGAGGAAAGAATGAAAATGGCAGAAACGGGAAAGAGATAAGGAGGAGAAGCCATCAGAGCCGCAAAGATGCATAACCTTCCTCGGATCCACAAAAACAATTGAAGAGAATGGTTCGTCATACCTGAGATCGGTCATTCGAGGTTAGGAAAGAAGAAGGCGCACGGGATTTGCGAGTGAGGCAGCGGGGAAGCAGCTAGGGTAGAGGAGAAAGAATGTGGGGTAAAGGGTAAAAACATTGGGGCAAAAGCTGGGCCGCAGGGTTAATCCCGCCGTCCGCTTTCTCTAAGCTTCGTCGAAGTTGTGCCGCGAATCTACGAACCAAACAACAAACTTTACCAAATAGTCGCGGTAAATGACCGTGTCGCGGACACCCCTCCCTCTCAAACGAGCCTAAGTCCAATTCAAGTGTGGCACGTCGATAATATTCATCGATCTAATCTTAGCCGCCCGATGAGCAAAATGTCACCCAGTCTTCACTTCAGCGAGAACCAACGTCAAGCAGAATGCTTGCATTGGTGGGTCACTTGACCCGAGCTGAAGGGTCTCAAATTTGTGCCATGAGGCTTTTATTTTGTTTAAATTTAATTCTGGTGTCAATTAGTGAATTGTGTATAAATTGTGGTGATTTTATGTGTTGTACATGTGGACATGCATAAGTGTTGTGTATGCATTGTGGTGTATATATATGTGGTGTTCGTGTGCAGTTTCAAAGGTCAAAACTCCCTAAGTTCCAAAAGATATCCCTAAAACATCCCCAATCCATGTGGGAACTCGACTTGGGTTTCAATATGTTGGTTTCAGTCGACTCAACTAAATGTTGAGGATTTGAAACCACCAATATGAAACTGCAACAAGTAAAAAAATAACTCTATCTTCTAAATATTGTATACTAGCCCTCTAAGAAAGTTTAAAGGAAATCCTAAAGCTAGTCCTAGGCTCTCATAAGAGAAAAAGGAATACCTCATAAAAATGAGGTCAACAATGTTTTGTAATGTCAATTTCCAACAATGGGGCCCCACCATTTGTCTTTCCTTTCCAATAATACTTTATTGAAGATGTTGCTCCAACACACCCATGAAATTGAGCCAGGGACTGGTCGTGCTCCTCGCCCAATCTCAAGAAAGTGAATTTAGTGATGAGGCTTCCAAAGCTAAAGCTCCATCGGTAGCCCCCATGTTTCAGAGGTCTATAGGTGTACACGTCTGACTCTCCTGCAGGGAAGAATCTCGCCACGCTCCCATGTTCTAGCACCTCTATTGGTTAATGGATTGCATTGCTAGTGTCAACAATAGATT